ACACCCAGCCCAGCTGCTCCCTCCCTGTGCCCTCCAGCATTCCCAGCACTGTGGAACTCCTGCCAGGACCCCTTTGTGCCTGCTGGGCTGCTGGAACTCCTGCATCCATCCCCATTCCTTAGGAAGCCATGCTAAACCCCCAGCCAGCCCTGCTGGGACTCTCCAGCCATAACAATAAAAGGAAATTATAAAAATAAACTGCAAACCTGCCCCTTCCCATCAGCCCTCTCAGCCAGGCGTTTTTATTTCCCTGGAAAGGAAATGTGCTGGAAAATGTCTGACAGTCCCAGGAGGTCACAGGGGCCTGCCCAGGTGCAATGGTGATGGCAGGAAGATATTCCTGGGACACCCCAGCACCCACAGGAGAGCATCCCACCAAATTCCCCTGAGGAATCCAAAGCCAGGGTGAAGAGGGGGCTCCTAAAAAGGCAACAAGGATGAACCAAGAGTTGTCCCAGCTTCTGTCTGAGGAACACCAGAGCATCTCCAGGGGACAGGGTGGGTGATGGGGCAGGGTCATGAGGAGAACTGGGAGGACTCTCTTGGCCATCACTGCTTCAGCCTCAGGAGCTGCGTGACTGTCAGAGCTCAGTGCATCCCTCTGGGTGTCCAGAGTTGCCAGGACCCTGCTGGGGGGCTCAGAGATCCTGGCAGGCAGCCCAGAACACCTGGGGATTTGATTTTGACCCATGGAGCAAGTTACCAGCTTTGTATGAGGGCATGAAAGCCACGCAGGTTTGAATGGTGTAATAACAAAATGATCTCAGGGTGAAAATGTAGATTTTAGGATTTTTAGTATGAGGGTTTCGGGGACAAGATGGAGGAATCAGGGCATGTCCAGCCTCTCTCCTTCTTGTTCTTGCTCTCCATTTTCTGCTGTGATGTTGGCACTTTGGGATTGGTTTAGAGTAGAAGTGCACTGTCTAACAGAGGTGATGGGTATTGGGAATTAAGTGTAAATATGTTATACGTAGTTTGTGGTATAAAAGGGCAACACAGAGAGTGCCTGTGGCTGCCCTGCTGAGCAGATCTCGGCTGGGCAGAAAGAAAATTTTATAGATAAGAATTAATAAACAACCTCAAGACCGAAAAGTGAAGAGTCCAGACTCGTTCTTCAGTTGTGTGGGCCGAAGCAGAGACATCCTGCACATCTCGGGGCAGCAATTATCAACAGCAACCCGAGAGGGGACATCAGACAAAGCCAAGGAGCAAGGGGCAGAACCACGTGGGAGAGGAGCAGGTGGGAATCCTCCTTGGAGATGGAGACATTTTTGGAGAACAAACCCAGAGAATGTGAGAAAGTGTCTCCTGTGTAAGATCATGAGAAGCTTCAAGACCAGGGGAAGGACCCCAAACACTCCTAAACTCTCCCAACACCTGGATTTGGCCACTGCCTTATCCTAGGACAGGCCCTGGACAGGCACCTTCTGAGGATCAGCTATCCCTGGTCCACACGGGACAGGAGCAAGCCCAAAACCTGCCTGGGAAGATGCTGGAGCCATCCCAGCTGTGTCTGCTCAGAGAAATGGGGTAGTGCCGGGGCTGAGGAGGGGATGGAGAGGGAACACTGGCCCAGGAAAGACAAGAAATGGTCCTGGCTGGCCTCGAGGCTCAGAGCACAAGGAAAGTCGGTGTTTAATTAGCACAACAGAGCCTTGGCATGGTGACTCATCTGGCTGGAATCCCAGCCTTGTCTGCAGATGCTTCAGGAGGGACTGGACAGGGAACAACGGTGAGGCTGGAGGACTCTGAGTCACAGACAGACAGCAGCCTGGAGGGTCGGGGCTGAGAGGGAGGCAGACCCACGGAATGGGGCAGGAAAAGAGGAAAATGGGAAAAAATCCACGGCAGTCCCTTCCTGAGCCAGACCTTACAGTCAGTGAAGCTGCAAAGAGACAGAGGGCTCTGAGCATCTGGCAGGGACAGGCAAAGCCCACCCTCGGTGCCTGGTGAGTGTGACCCAGTGCCCTGAGCTCTGTGGGGTGACAGGGACACTGCTGTGCCACCTCTCTGTCCTGCTGGGGCTGCAGCAGGGCACCAGCACTTCAGGGGCTCAGCATCACCAGCGTGGATGCAGATGCTCACACTCAGAGCAGGTAAATCCCACCTGCTGCACCCTCAGATCCCAGTTTGCAGGAATTGTGCATTCCTCTTCCTCTTTCTGAGGGTATTTTCTTGCAGGTGAAGTGGCTCTGCTCACCCCTGACACTGGCACTGCTACATCCAAGCCAGGGAGCAGTGTGGCACAGACAAAGCTCCCCCAAAACAGGGCAAGAGGAGTCACCACAGGTAGGGAAAGGAGCAGAAGGGTCTCTCTGAGGTTTGGGACTGGGAAATATTTCCCATGACAAGTGGATGGGTAGGCTGCAGAGGGTGGCTGGTCATCCACAGTGACACAAGGATGAGGGCTGGAGAAACAGCAGTGCTGCAGGGGAGGGTCAGGAGGTCCCACAGAGGCAGCAGAGCTGGGCCAGAGCTGGCCAGCAGCCCCTTGGACCCCACAGCTCTGCTCCAGGGAATGGGCTGGGACCAGTGGGGCTGGGGTGAGTGAGGGAGTCTGGGAGTCTGGCAATTACAAACACAGTCAAAACCTCCTTCTTAACCAGCCTAATCCCAATAACAATCTACATCCACTCCAGAGCAGAAAGCCTCACCTCCTTCTGCAAAAGGGTCTCAGAGATTTTCTGTCTCCTGTTCTGCTCTCCACACCCTAA